CGACTCAACTTGAAGAGGAACCAATGACTTGATCGTGAGCAAATATGATCAATGATGCCTTGCATTTACTTGTTCAAGTTACGGAGGCCAAGAGTTTAAAGTTAACAAGCCAAATACCAAGTTTTGTGTTGGGCATGAAGGTGTAAACAAATTGGATGCATTAGAATCAAGAAAACAAAATTAGAAGCTAGTCGGATAAGTATGTGTCGCATAGTATAAAACGGGATGCTGTCGCATTTACTATTCTTGAAACAAAGAAGTAGAATTTTGATTGTTCAATACGATCGAGGGAGTTATAACTATGCGGTCGTATAGTTCATTTTCTGGACGTGTTTTTTCAAAAAAATTCTAGAAGTTTATTTTTAGTAGAACTCTTGTTGTGGTATCTTTTTAATATCTTTTTTATATAATTCCGTTTTTATTAGGTTTTTATGGATTCCCTAAAAATATGATTCATTATTCTCAGTGTGAAAGGGGGGAAGACATTTTTATTAACAAAGCGTGATTTGCTTTCTTCTTGTTCTTCATTTAACTTAATTCCAAACTTATCAAAGACTTCATTTTGTGGTGTTCAACAAATTTATAGCAATGTTCATAGTTTTTATAATTAAGGGATCAAGTTCTTCCAAAAATTTGGTTCGTTGTTTCAATAAATTATTTGGTCAAGTTTCAAACCGGTATTTTAGCTTTCTTAGGTTGTGATTCAATCTTTTGTGAATTTTGAAGCTACTATTACTACATGGGTTCACACCAGTTGGTATCAGAGCTTTGGTTCTAAAATCAAGGTTATATATTAAATTTTCACAATTTTTTTAATTCTAAATCTTCATCTTCTTCGTCCTTCTTCATCTTGGTCTTGAGTTTTTTTTAGAGTTCTTCATCTTCTGAGTTTTTCTTTCCAATAAAAACAAAAAACAAAAATATTCAAGAAGCGTTTGTGCATTAAACTAGTGCCCAAATCAATTCTTTTTCGATGTTTTGGCCTTTTTATTGAATTTTCGTTCGTTTGGTATAAAAAAATCCGAAAATTATAAAAAAAATAAAAAATTAAATTCAGCAGCTCGAAAAAAAAAGTTTCAAAAATGGGAAAATCAAATTTCCAAGCCAAAAAGTATCCAATTCGATTTCAAGAACCATTTTTCTTGAAATTTCTTGGAACATAAATTTATTCAAGAATTCAATTCAACCTCAAAACTATCATTTGGAGTCAATATTGTTGCGAAAAGGCAAGAATCGAATTCAAGAAACACCTTTTTGAATTTCTTGTTGGTATTTCCATTCAATTTTTCATTCGTTCTTTTCTTGAGTCTTTCGAGAGTCAAACTCCTTCTACAATTCTTTGTTTGAACTTCACAAAGAGTGAATTATTTTGATTGAGATCCAATTAGTTTCTTGAAGCACTTGCAAGAAAGTATTGAGAGTAAAAAGGCTGAGTAGTGAGATTATTACAGGGAAAAAGCTAAAACTGAATGATACACAAGTGAAAACACATGAGAAAAATATTATTCTAGTTCATATGATGTCGGAAAATAAAAGATTTGCCTCTAGGGACAAGAATAATCAATTCTTCATGGCAATGAAACAATTTTTTTAGAGGATAAATGTGATGTGTGGAGAATTTAAGGATATATTGGATAGGCAGGATACATTGATTGCAAACTTACAAAGGGGGCAACCTAGAAGAGTTCCTGATGTTAAGAGGAAAAATAGGCGTTATCCTAGTGCTGAAATTGACCAAATGTCGGTAGTTGAAGTTGATAGGATGAGAAATAGAAAAGATAGGCATGAAAGGGAGCCTAGAAGAAATCCTAGAAACTTTGATGGAATAGAGTACCCGTTGGTAGATGAAGTATTTGTTACGAAGCATAGTGAGTTTGATGATTTGATGGAAAATTTCAAATTTCACATTATGTTTAATTCTCAAACAATTAATCATATGTAGAAACATTAGAGGAAAAATAGAGAGTAAGAGAGAAAATAGAGAGGTGACTGAAAATCATGAAAAAAAAAGAATAGAGCCACAAGAGAAAAAAGAAAATAAAGAAGTTATTGAAGATAAAGAAAATGAGCGGAGCTACGAGAGAGAAAAGAAAAAGAGTTTTCAGAGAAAAAAGTAAAGTCAAAAGTGAGCTTCCATGAAAAAGATAGTGAAATTAAGAGGGATTTAGTGAGAACTAACAAACCCCTCCCTAATTTGGCTATTTCTTTATTGTGGGGTTTCAAAAACTAGGTTCATGAGGACATGCCTATTGAGTTACCACTTATTCATTACATTAAACAGCAAATTGAGGAGGCTAACCAACCCCACTCTAGTTTGGATATTTCTTTGTTGCAGGAGGTTGATTACTTGTTCCTTGAGGAAGCAATGAAGTTTCAAAACCAATTGGGGAGTTTGAAGAGCAAAGAAAACATGGGGGTAACACATTAGTTCACTAACGGTAATGTATCATCATCCACGTCTAGATTACATGGTATTCTAGTATATTACAAGAGACTAGATGGATATGATATGCATTTGAAATGTGTTGTGGATGTCTTAAAGCATGAAAAATATTTTGTCAATCTTGAGTTCCTTAACTGTTTTGGGGGTGAATTTATGGGCTGAGTTAAGAACCAAACTAATCTTTTCCACTTCGTATTCACACTTTGAAAGAAAGAAGCTGAGGCATGTACTATTTGATCCAGATAATTGGGTTTTGATGCACATACGAAAAAACGAATTCGAACTCAAAAGAAGTCTAAATTACATCTTAGGGGAGATTGGATTATTCCAAGTGATTGAAATGATTAATGATAATGCCTACAAGATGGATTTTTTAGGTGAGTATAAGGTATTTACTACTTTCAATATTATTAATCTTTCTCTCTTTAATGCGGGTCAAGATTCGAGAACGAATTCTCTTGAAGAGGGAGGGAACGATAGGATTCATGGAGGGCAACAAACTTACAAAGATCCGGCTCAACTTTAAGAGAAACCAATGACGAGATCGCAAGCAAATATGATTGATGAAACCATGCATTTACGTGTTCAAGCTACAAAGGCCAATAATTTGAAGTTAACAAGCCAAATACCAAGTTTCATGTTGGGCATGAAGGCGGAAACAAATTGGATGCATTGGAATTAAGAAAACAAAATTGAAAATTAGTCGGATAACTATGTTGTTTCATAGTATAAAACAGGATGCTGTCGCATGTAACATTCCCGAAACAAAAAAAGTTGAATTTTGGTTGTTCTATGCGATTGCGGGAGTTATAACTATGCGGTCGTATAGTTCATTTTCTGGACATGTTTTTTCAAATTTTTCCTAGAAAATATTTTTGGTAGAACTCTTGTTATGGCATCTTTTTTATATTTTTTTGATATAGTTTCGTTTTTATTAGGTTTTTTGGGTTCCATATAAATAAGATTCATTATTTTCATTGTAAAGGGGATAATACATTTTTATTGAGAGAATTAATAAATTGAAATTTGTTTTTTTCTTGTTCTTCATTGAACTTAATTTCAAACTTATCAAGGATTTCATCTTTGTGGTGTTCGACAAATGCATAGCAAAGTTCATAATTTTTGTAATTAAAGGGTCAAGTTCTTCCATAATTTTGGTTCATTGATTTTAATAAATATTGATTTTCATCGATTATCATTGATGATTATATTTTGATCATTTTTCTATCTAAATTATTTTTTACTATTATTTTTGAAAGGGCCCTTAAAGATTTAGGTACCTTGGCCTCAAGATTGACTTCGAGCTCGAAGACTTGATACTCAATCGCTAATCCTATATTTTACAAGGTTTGAAACCGGAGAATTACTGTATATGATTTCAGGTTGACTTTGATATCAATTGGCGCAATTTGTCTTTCAATTTATTTATTTATTCATTTTAATTTTTGGGTTGCAGTGAATGATTAGCCATAAATTGCGTGTTGACTCACGAACAATTAATATACAGTGCGTGATACATATTTAATTTTCAAGGATGTGTAGTCGAGATATTCTCAATCTAAATTGTGCACAAGACGTGGTCAATTCATCAAGGGCAATAGTTGTTCGGGTTCATATGTCGATTTGATGTGTTCGTCTAAAGCATCTACTGGAAGAAATTTGAGATTCGACAACTATATGATTTAAGAAAAATTGACAAAATATGGACGAAATGTTAATAAGAATAGAATCCAGCTTATAATGGGTCGATAAACTAAACAAATTCGAATTGAAAGAGAAAAAGGGAAGAACTTATCACAAGAAAATTATATTGTCACTCTCTCTTTAAGTAATGGCACGGCCTCCATTGAGTAAGAGCTGAAGTACTGCCAATTTGAGTTCAGTTTCACGAATCAATTCTTCGTCTGTTTTCGGGACATTTGGATTCTCTTTTATTCCAGAAGTTATACATTCCAAATGAGTACCGAAATCGCACTCTCGACAATAGTAGAGCCAGGCCAATTCATGGACAGGGCTCTTACACACATCACACGAGAATGTCACCTGATTTCCCTCTCCTGCCAGTGGGGAGTAATACAGTGTGAGAGGGTGTTTGTGATCTCCGCGGGTCATGGTTTCAGGCCAAGAAATGCAGTCGATATGGAGATCATACGAACAAGTCGAGCAAGTGTAGCAAAAAGCCTTACCATCTTTAAGGCAAGCATTGCAAGTAAATCCATCGTTGTAAGGCGGTGCAGTGAGTAGCTTTAGAGGGTGGTCGAGGTGGGAATTATGTCGAACCTCTAAGGGAGATTCGAAGCACGCCTTGTGGAGATTGAAATTGCAATGGGGCTCGATGCAACAATAAGCCGAGCCAAATAGGTCACATTCACAAGCAGAACAAACTTTAGTATTTTTGTCCTTAATTTCCATAGGCTGCAAAATATGTGGATGGCTGAAGTGCTTTATTACTTGTGGTTTCGTTTGAGGCTTGACTATCTGAGGAGCCGGTGGTGTCGGATTTACGTTAGCTACACTCCCGGGAGGACTAAAATTTGGCACTGTTGGTTTAGTTGGGGTGAAAACTGGCACAGGGTTGTTTTGAATGGGGGCTTGAAGATTTGGGATGGAAGGATTAGGAGGAATATTCGGATAAGGGTTGTTTTGAAAGGAGGGATAGGTACTACTTTGAGGCAAATTTGGTGCAGAATGAGGATTAAAATTTTGAGTTTCGACTGCGAAATTTGGAAAATTAGCAGGGTGGTTTGCTAGATTATATGCACAATGGACATGTAGATCAAAGTCACATTCAGAACAACAATAAGTAAAGCCATTTCCTACCAGATTGCATGAATTGCAGAAAAATGAATTAGAGGGATATGTAGGAAAAGGTACTAAAGTTAAGGGATGTGGAGGATGGGAAGGATGACTCATCGATCGAGTCGCTTGAAAACATTGCTCGTGGAGGAAGTAACGGCAATGCCAACATGCGTAAACCGAGCCCGACGCGGGGGTTTTGCAACCGGAACAATGGATTTCAGTGCCATGTGGCAACTGGTGAAAAACTAGGCCATGGCTGTGGCTAAAATGCTTATACTCCATCTCCCTCTCTCTCTCTCTCTCTCTAAAAGATGGAATGTCCTAGCTGAATTTGCTTGATGGGGATTAAATGGGATATGCACAACTTTATTTGCAAATAGGCATGCAAATTGATGGATAAATAATGTAAATGTGTTGGATGAAACTTCTGAGATTCTTCATTCGATGTGGTTTGAATTTGTCAATGTATGATTATTGTTGACTTGTAATTTCGGAGTTGACTTATTTATAATTAAGCATATCATTATCATACGTTTATCATCAATATCGTCTGCTTTTGATTTTTTGCTTGTGATGCATGTTAAGTGGTGGGTGAATGTTTTGACTTTTCTCCTCCTCTCCATGTCAATGGAAGGACTAAGTTTTGTTTTTTATTTTTTATTTTTTGAAAAAAAAAATGCTCTATTAATCTCTAACTTATTAGAGTTATAAAAACCTTTTTTCTCGATCGGCTTATTTTTCTTTTAATTTTAATAGCAGTGTTTCATAAAATAGGAAAAAGACAGAGAGAGAGAGGAAAAATAGAAGAACATTGTTTATTACACATGACCATTTACAAATTGATGTTGTGGCGATAAAATTAATTTTAACTATCAAAATTTCTTTACACTTAGAACGGTTGTGTTTGTGTAATGTGGGTTAACGGTAAAATGAAATTGAGGCAGTTTTTTATTTGTGAAATTTTAATTTACTTAAATCTCGTCACGTCATTTGTTTATAAAAAATTTATAAATTATAATGTACAGCAAAACTGAAATTAAAAACAGACAAGTGGTGTGGGGCCAGTGACAGAAACCCGTTGAATAAGGTTGAAGGTGGCATCGTGGCGAACCAAGTGGAGGGACAGGGTGTGAAGGACAGGGGTTGGGGGTGTGAAGTTGGTATAGGGTTTACGGGGACGGATCAAGGGGACTGCTTAGGACTTCAATTAAAGCTCATCCCTTATATTAATGTAAAAAATTAAAAAAAAACTCCCCTAGCTCCGCTTTTGGTGATTGGCTCGGGCCATGGACAAGTGGGAGTGGGAAGGAGCTGAGTTTAATGCGTGTTTGGCACAAAAAGAAAAATTAATTATTTTTCTCCAAAAATTATTTTGAACCAAGAATTCTATGGAATAGACAACTTTTCTTCACTTTTCAACCACATTCAACAACAAAAAAAAAAAAAATTCCACTTGAAAGAATATGTGCCAACAAGCTATTAGATTTTTTTAATCGTCACTTTAATTTTTATTTTGTTACGTATTGTACCTTCTAAACAGTACTCACTTGGATTGTATGTGCGTGTTTGGTGATAGAAATTTTGATAGGACAGTCCTATGTGCATACATGGTAAAATAATTCATTCATATTAGGACTTCAAACCTCGAGTTATTCAAATTATGACACTTCGATGTTACCATCCCACTAAATCTTTTTTTCGTGTTTAGCATTAAAATAGAGACACCCCGTCAAATAGGAACCAAAGAAGGTACAAAATTAAGAGACTGGGAGTCAAAAAACAGATTGAGGGTCACATTGCATTAAGATTCATAAATTGGAGACTAGTTCTACAATATCCCTTGTTTTTGGATCACAATTTACGCCCTGTTTGGTGCACATTTTTTCCACAAGAATGCATTTTTTTTATGTGATGGAGAATATATGGTTGAAAAAGAAAGAAAAGTTATTGATGTGAGGAAAATATTATTTTATTGAAAAATGTATGGTTGATAATGAATAGAATAATGAGAATGAAAAAATAATGTGGCTCAAACGTGGACGTAACATGCTCGTATCGAGTCCTTCCGACTTGTAATTTCTACCCTGCCATTGTTCCCTTTCATTTTTATTTTCCTTTTTAAAGTTAAATTATGGTGAAAGGCGAGCATTTTATTCATATTGAAAAAATGGAAACAAAATCACACGTGACTTAAACATGGAGACAAACTGTTAAATCACATAACATTCAACTTTTATTTCTTTGGAAAATTCAATAATCAACTCTATATAGGGACGGTAAATTTCTTGTTCTTGATCTCCTTGTATGATAAATTGGACGTGGACATATGGCCCTTGCCTCCAATTCTTCGAACCCATTTCAAATCTTTTTATTTTGTTTAATTATTTCAATGTTTCGATTTAAATCCTTTTTAAAAATAATATAAAAAAATGAAAATAAATAAGTTAATGGGGGTGGGTGACGGTGACAGTGATATTTTTGCCTTCCCGTTATCATCCCTAAGAGCCTGCTTGTTTTAGATTAAAATCTGATTTTAATCTAAGTCAAAATTAAACAATCAATATTAATCACATTTTTCATGGGTCCCACAATTTTTCAACCACACATTTCAAAAATTTCTATCATAATCTACTAAAAATCTAATTTCAATTCCAACCAAACACCCACTGATTGTGTTATATATTCAGAGAATTAGTTATTTTTTAAATCTAGAGGCATGTATCTTGTATTTTAATACTCGAGATTCAAGAACATTACAACGTTACAGTTAAGATTACACATTTTAATGTTTAGTGTAAATAGTCATATACTTGATTTTTCTGCTATGACTCAATCAATAGTCATATACTTGATCCGTTATCATATTAATTCAAGTGGAAATTACACCAAACCCTATGTTTTAATATCCAATTTCAAAAATCAGATGGAAGGTTTTATTGTTCAAAAATCAGATATTTTATTTTTAAATATTAAATATTAATTACACAATTTTCAACCCAATTCCCCCAAAACCGTCTCTTATCTCTATCTCTCTCTCTCCTCAGCCAGCTAAATCCGACTTGCTTTCACCACAAATCCGACCATCGTCTCTCAATTTACTACAGATCTAATGACACCTGCGCACCTTGCAAGTGGTAGTGGATCTCCGACATGTGGCCGTTGCACGATGGAGATTCGTGATCTGGGGAAGAAAAATCTGTGTTTGGCTTCGTGTAGAAGGGGCACTGTTGCAGTTTGGTGGTGATGGGGGTGCTATAGGTGGTTGGTACATGTGGTGGATCTGCGACGACGGTGAGGTGATTTTGGGTTTGTTTGTTGGTGTGGCGGTGGCGGTTTTCGTCGATTAGATCAGACGTTGTGCTCTCCTCCATTATCTCTCTACACAAACCCGTCCCCTCCTGCCAGAAGGAACGCGAATTGTAGCCAGGGTTTTTGTGTGGTAGCGATTTTGTAGTGGTGGATTTGGCGGTTGCGGTGTTGTGGTGTTTGTGCAGTGGCGATTCTGTGGTGGTGGCTGTAGTGCTTTGTGTGGTTTTGTGTGGTGGTGATGATGGTGTTTGTGTGGTAGCGGTTTTGGGTGCTGTTTTGTGGTAGTGGTGGTGGTGGTGATGTCAACGGTGAGTGGCAGGATGGGGCGTGGGTGATGTTGGTGTTGTAGTAGTGGTGATGTGGCGGTGGTGGCAATGGACAGTGACGGTGGCTAGGCGGTGATGGTTCGTTTCTATTGGTGGTGGAGGTAGTTGTGGGGTGGTGGTCACAATGGTGCATTTCTGTTGGTGGTGGAGGTGATGGTTTCCCGGTTGTTGGTGGTGGTGGGGTGAAGGTGCGCAAGTGGCAGTGGTGGTGTTTGTGACCAATAATTGGTTATTTTTTGCCAAATAAATAATACATAACCTAAAAATTGTGACTGTAACTTACAATTTATTAAGTTGTAATCGAATTGTGACTAATAAAAGTTTTGATTTTGTAATCGATCAATAATCTGTGACAAATAAAATTTTTGATTCGTGATCGAGAAATAACCGTGACCAATAAAATTCTTCATTTGCGATTAGGAAATAAGTTGTGACCAATAAAAAGATAAATTGTGACCAAAAAAATTGTGTGATCTAGAAAATTGCTAATTTGTGACCAATAATTTGATTATTTGTGACCGTCTAATGAGTCGTGACTTGTAATATTTTTGATCCGTGACCAATAAAATAATCTGTGACCTATAAAATTATTGATTTGTGACTTTGAAATAATCCGTGATCTTTAAAAATTTTGATATGTGACAGACAAACAAATTGTGACTTATAAAATTTTTGAATTGTGACCTCAAAATAATTAGTGACGTATAAAATTTTTGATCTGTGACCTCGAAATAATTCGTAACCTATAAATTTTTTGATTTGTGGCCTCAAAAATAATCAGTGACCAATTAATTATGTACATGTGACCATTAATTGTATAATTATGAAATCATTATAATTAATTAATTAAATCATAATAAATTTTAATAAAAATCTGATTTTTAAAATGCCAAACTTGTTTTCTTAATTTTGAAATAAGGGATATTTATCCTCTTACTTATGAATTTTTCCCTTAATTCAAACCATTAAAAAGCATGCAAAAAATGTTACATAAAAAATCTGATGAAAACAATAACTTAACCTATTAGAGAGCAACACGTATCTCAAAAATGGATCATCAAAACGACATTAACTAAAATTTCACCATTAACACATTGAAACATGTCCATAATGAAAAAGATTAAAAAGTACATAGGCTTGAGATACGTAAATAATCTAGAAAATTACAAGAGGTGGAATTAGAAACCCTATCCAAATTTTTGTTCTTCATCCTCTTGTCCTTGCTTAACGGCAATTCTAACAGTAAAGTAGATCTTAAAGTAAACCAATGGTCTGAAAAACACTTTAGAAGGGCGACTAGACAAGGAGGCCGTTAGCAATTTGCTGACTTCAAATTTTTGAGGTCAACAAATTGAGTCGTATGTGGAAACCACAAGAGAAAGCCACGTGTAAAAGATGACAATGAATTACAGAGAAATAAGGAAGAAGGCAACCGAAAATAATAGTGATAGGGGCTCGGAGAACTTTGCTACATAGAAG